GAAAATTGTGTTATATTTTCAGAACTAACAAGATAGAACTGGCAGTAGAACTCTTGAGCCAGACAGCTATAGGTTTTTGCTTAATTCTGTAGTTTGCAAGGCTTTGTGTCCTTGGGCCAGTTATTTAACCTCACCAGCTTCCACTTTGCTCACCTATAAGATGGGGCTCGCGTGACGTGGTTAATTGAGAACATACGCTCTACAGCCAGTCAGCCAGCCTTCAGATCCTGGGTGTGTAACTGACTAGTCATGTAACGTTGGGCAAATTACTGTGTCCCCTTTTACTCACTGGTAAAATAGGGTTAATAAGAGCATCTACCTTCTTAGAGTATATATTAACATATTAATTATTACAGTAAATATATTTAAAGGATTTAAATTTGTACCTGGTACATAGATAGCTAAATATACAAGGTCTTTTCCTACGAAAGTGATTTTTCTTTAAGAAATACTTTTAAAAAAAAATTGAGAAGCTCTAACCTGAACATGGCTTTCTTTCTAATTGTTAAAGCTTGTTGTAATGAAACACTTTGCATAAACTGTGTTTTGTACTTGCTGCACTTAATGGGAATATGAGAATCTGAAGAGAGTTTGAGACTAAGGTATTTTCTTGATTATAAACGTGGCTTATGTTTTCAGGAAGATGATAAAGAAGAAAGTTGTTATATTTTACATTCAAGCAATAATGAAGATAAGACTGAACTTTCAGAAACAATTCATGATTTAAATTCATCTTTAATACTCGAAGCACCCAAGGTATTTAGTAAATTTATTTCCCATTTGAATGATTTGCTGTGAGCTACAGTTTCTGTAAAGAAGACAAAAGCTTGTCCCCATCCCTTAGCTAAATAGATATAAATTAATCTCCCTCTCTTTTTTTTTTTTAATTAAACTGAAATCTTTTTCTTCCTATGTCACATTGCCTTTCTGAATGACACAGGCAAGATGTAAGGCATTGTCAAAGAACAGACATACTTTATATCACTAATACATTCCTAAAGTTTTAGGGGGGTAGAAAATAGACCTACATTTACAATGCTGTTAGAAAATGGAACTATACCAAAAAATTTCATATTGAATACTTTCTAAAGAAAAGGCTTATTTAGTCAAACCCTACTTTATGCTTTAAATTCACAAAATTTATTTTGAAGCTTTTCCCTTTTTAGTCCTTTTTTTTTTGAGACAGGGTCTCACTCTTGTCATCCTGGAAAGAGTGCGGTGGCATCATCATAGCTCACTGCAACTTCAACTCCTGGGCTAAAGCGATCCTCCTGCCTCAGCCTCCCAAGTAGCTGGGATTACACGTGCACACCACAAGGCCCTACTAACTTTTTTTATTTTGGGAGAGATGGGGTCTTGTTCCTGCTCGGGCTGGTCTTAAACTCCTGGCCTCAAGGGGTCCTCCTGCCTTGGCCTTCCAGAGTGCTAGGATTACAGGTGTGAGTCACTGCACCTAGCCCCTCCTTTTTTATTCTTAAAAGGAATTGTCTTATGTTGTTCTTTGCAGTTGGAGTATGGTTTTGCTTTACTTGGTAACAACTGCCTAGTGATATTCTTTGTATAATATGTTGACAGTATCTCAAGCTGATATCCGTTCCTGTAATGTCCATTATATTTTTCAGTGTAGACATTTTTCATTAAAATTTTGTTATGTGATGTGTTCAAATATATTTTCTAACCACAATTTTTTTGGGGGAAATAACTAGGTTATAATATTTGGTATACTAAATTAATTTAAAAGCTTTACCACAATGATGTTTAGTTGTGAGGAAGAAGCAATAGAAAAAAGAAATTTACATGTAGTAATAATGAGTAGGACTTAAAATAGGAAGTATCACTGATCTCTTAGAAGGAATTGGGCTGCATTGTGTCCAGCACCCAGACATTTCCCAGGGTTAGGCCGAAGGCTTAGCAAATCCATATATTCATCAGGCTTTAGCTGAGAACTCAACAAGTTTCTGCACATTTAGTTTCAGTGGTATGTCCTAGCTATTCTGATTAGTGAAATATAAATTAATTTAACAGTATATTGTATGCATTCCTTTCTATTATATTTTCAACACAGCTGAAAAAATACACTTCTATTATTTGTTATATTATAAAAGCCATACTCAAGGTAGTTAGACATAACTCACCTTATCTTTAGTCTATAGGGAATGTTTTTTGAACATTTGAATAGCCGTAATTTCTTTTTAGTTACTTAGTCTACTTAGTTACCTGACCTTTTCAATCTTTGCTTTTTTAAGTAATAGTATGAAATGAATCTATATTTATGTACCACTTTTAATATTAGGTGCATGGGTTAAATATTTAGCGTAATGGCTTAACAAAATTCCTATTTCTGATGGAGAATTTCCAGGTGGTTAATGTGTAATGAACCTTTTAGAAGGTTTGGAAGAATCATTCACCTTGCCACAGGCAGATTTCTGCCTCTTATTTTCCTGTTTGTCCCTTTTCTGGGTTGAGGATTGTGTGGAAGTGAGCCTGTGTTTCTCCTTGTCTGCGATGGAGGGCTGTGCGTGTTAGCTGTGCATTGGTATATACGGTGGTACATTGCCTTAATGTCAGCATTTTAATTTTCCAGTTCATGTGTATGACATTTTTTGCAACTTTTATTTACAGGGATTTAGAGATGAACCACATTTTAAGGAAGAACTTGTAGATGAACCGTTTCTAGATTTGGGAAAGGCTTTCCAGTCCCAACAAAAAGAGATAGACAACAGCAAGGAGGCCTGGGAGATGCGTGAATTTCTGACTCCTAGGTTGCCGGAGATGGGTGAAGAAAGGGAAATGCTTGTCGATGAAGAATATGAGCTGTATCAAGATCACTTTCAGTCCATGGAGTTGTATCCCTCGTCACACATTCAAGAGGCCCCTCCTGTGCCCTCCATGAAGGAATTTCACTTTGCTACACAGTGGTTACAGGACAGTGAACCTCCTGGGTCTCAAGAAGGAAGATCCATGAGGAGCGTGTATTCCCAGGAGACACAGCAGTATGGCTATTGCCCTGAAAACACGGTAAGGGATTAGAACAGATACTGTACATCTTCCTCCCTGCTCTCTTTGCCTAGTCCTGTCTCTAACTCATGTAACTTAAAAATACTAAACAAAATTTAATGGGCCTTTTTATAATTAAGTGTTGTTTGCAAGATGTACCATACAGTGTCTAGCTATAAGTATAAGCTCATCTTTTCTGTATTACACAACTTCTCTTGGGAGTCCATAAGCTGCAGTTGCCTTGCTACTGTAGTGGTTTTTTGCTTTCCTTTTTAGTGATGTTTTTCTCCTAAGTTTCTCATTTCAGGAAAGAGTTCTTTTATAATAACATTTGTGATTTCTTTTTAATTTCCCCAGGGAAACACAGCTCTATATTTCTTGCATGGCATGTTTATCAGGGAAAATCAAGGCAAAATTGATTATAAATATATTGTTGTTTGTGTCTTAGTGATCCACATTGTTTTCTGTGTTATATATGGTATGAAAGCACTGATCTCTAAGAAATTATCTTAAAGTTATAAATAGATAGTATGGCAGGAAAGCATTATGGTTTAGTAGGTTTGTCCTTACTATTAAATCACTAATCAGCTTTATTTTTTCATAAGATTATATAGTCAACCAGTCACCAACTGGAATCCTTCATTAGCGACTTTTAAAAATGTTTTTGTTTCTTTATTTCCTGCCCTGAATTAACTTTCAGGCAAATGAAAAGATTACTGTATAGGGATGTTTTTTAAAAAGGCAACTTAGCAGTATGTTCAGATGCGGGATGGCGCTGCCCTCACCGAGGCTGGCGGCGTTCCTGTTGTGACGTGCAAAGCATGCCTCCGCTTGCTCTCCCACATGGCAGGTACAAGTGGTTTCTTCCCTCGTCTCCTTCAGACATTTCCTCCCTTTTCCCTGTTGCAAATGCTCGTGGATCCCTCTGCTAGGCAAGGTGCTGTGCTTTCTGTTTTTATGGGACCCCGCAGGACTCCCCCATGATAGAGGGCCCTGGGCAGTCTACCAAGAACAGGTGTTTTTGGAATGCATGGATGGTGCCTGGACGTGGAGAGAGGTGACACGTTATTGTCCAGTATGTCCACTGGCATCGGTGCTTTTTACCTGTGCCAGTCCCCCTCCTGGGATCTGTCAGTGCTCAAGCCCAAGCAGAATATGTATTCAGTTATAGAGAGCTAATTGGAATTATAGATGACTGAATACTCATAAATATTTGTTATGGCCATTTTCCTCTATGAAAAGAAAATTTTCTGTTTATCCAAAGAAAGGGCAATCTGAAATATCAGTCCATTTTGAGATATTATAAACATTTAAGGCTATAGATGAGATGGTCAAAGGTATATTCATAATATTGACTTTATAAGTTTAGTTAAACATTCAATTTTAAAACCTCCTAAAATGTTAAATTTTTGCCTCTTCTGACATTTAATCATATAATTTTATTCAAATTCTTTCAATGCATATTTAATGTCAGTATCTACATTGTCACTTTTTGATCATTTAACGCAGCTTTCCAAATATATCATCTTCATTTCTAACTAGGTTGTTTGAGATACAGCAATTTTTAAATCCATGCTGTCACTCAAAATTTTATTCTTATCTCTACTCATTTGCATAATATTGGGGTTTTTAAAAAACCCTCTTATAAGCTTATATTGATGCTCTTAACAATGTAACCACTTACTCTATTATTTGTTAAAGTGCTCTTTGAAAGGCTTGTTTAAAACAACTGTCAGTGCTCACAATTTGAAGGACATGTATCCTAATTACTAAATCTGTTAAGTTTCCTAGCTTCCCTTTTTTTTAATTTCCCATTGATTCAGCCATATTCACTTGACATAGCTATTTTCTTCTGTAAAAAACTTTTCTATTTACCCAAATAAAAGGCAACCTGAAATATCAGTCCATTTTAACATACACACGTTTAAGGCTATAGAGGAAAAGGTCAAATGTGTATTCATAATATTTACTTTATAAGTTTAGTTAAACATTTGTATTTTAAAACCTGTAAAATGTAAAAATTTTTTGCCTATTCATACATTTAATTATTTACTTTAAAGTTACAGAGGTAACCTCTATAAACTCCCCAAAGTGGCATTAAGATTTTCAACCCTAATGTATCTTGCATAAACGGTATTTTATTTTCTTTAAATAATTATATGTGCTTGCTTAGGGCATTGACATTTTTCCTCCCTTCCACAGCGATGACAGTTACAGCCATATGATTAGGGTGGGCTCAGATCTTTATTTGCCCACCTGTTATTACTGATGGAGCCCTGTGATAATTTGTTATCTAATAATATTACCTAATATTGCCATCCCTAAGAGGATTTTAGAATCTTCTATTTAGAGGTGCCCTCCAGAAGGGTGGAGGAACATTATCATTTCTGTCATGGTTGTAATCTCCATTTTGGGCTGCAGATATAGCTGTATTTGTAGAATGCAGATAGTACCTAACTACTTCACAGTTTATCTTTCTCTATCACTCTCCTATTCCATTTTAGTTGAAGGGTGAAACCATGATTTATAGACCTGTTTTGTTTGTTTTTAAATTATGGTAAAATACACATAACACACAATTTACCATTTATTTAACCATTTTTAGGTATACAGTTCAGCAGCATTGATTACACTTCCTTTATTGTGGAACCATCATCACCATCTATCTCTAGAACTTTTTATGTTCCCACGCTGAAACCCATTAAATAATAACTGTTCTTTCTCTCCTCCCCTTGTCTCCTGGCAACCAACCATCATTTTATTTTCTGTCTCTTAAGAATTTGACTACACTAAGCACCTCATAGAAGTAGGATCATGTAATATTTGTTCTTTTGTGTCTTGTTTATTTCACTTAGTATATCGTCTTCAAGGTTCATCCATGTTGTGGTAGGTGTCAGAATTTTCTCCCTTTTTAAGGCTGAAATAATATTCCCAAAACTTTCCCTCTGCCCTCTTGTGTTTGTGCTTGGAGGGGTTCAAATTAAACTGAAAAAAGACATTAAAGGTTTATTGGTATGCATATTGAATGCAACAAAAGAAGTAGCTAGCTCACTAAATGGTTAAAATTAGAGGCTTCTGTACTCAGAAGTGGAATTGCTATTATAGATCATAGGATAATTTTATATTTAATTTTTGAGGAACACCATACTGTTTTCCATAGAAGCTGCACTATTTTACATTCCCACCAACAATGCACAAGGTTTCCAGTTTCTCCACATCCTAACACTTGTTGTTTGCTGGGGTTTTTGTGTTTGTGTTTGTTTTTATGAGTGTAAAGTGCTATATCCTTGTGTTTTTAATTTACATTTCCCTAATAATTAGTGATGTTGAACAGCCCTTCAACTGCTTACTGGCCATCTTTTTATATTCTTTCTAGAAGTGTCTATTCAAGTTCTTTGTCCATTATTTTTGTTTTGTTTTGTTTTGTTTGAGACAGGGTCTCCCTCTGTTGTTCAGGCTAGAGTCATCATAGCTCCCTGCAACCCCAAACCTCTGGGCTCAATGATCCGCCTGCTTCAGCCTCCTGAGTAGCTGGGACTACAGGTGTGCGCCACCACACCCAGCTGATTTTTTTTATCTTTTCATAGTCTTGCTGTGTTGCCCAGGCTGATCTTGAACTCCTGGCCTCAAGCCATCCTCCTGCCTCCACCTCCCAAAGTGCTGGGATTACAGCCACGAGCCAGTGTGCCCAGCCTCTTTGTCTATTGTTTAAAGATTTAGTTCTTTTTGACTGAGGGTTATTTACCTGAGAAAAAGTGTATGTTCTTATTTTCTTCTCTTTTTATAAAAAAACAGCAATTCGTTTTTCTAAAGCTCCAATCTCTCATGCCCACTATACTGAAATCCCAGATTGGGGTATCAATTCTCTTATTCTTCAGTTACTATTAACATAATTGCCATTAACTCTTTAAAAAAATGTCCAGATGGTCCAAAATTACTGTAAAATTTCTTCTTTTTAAGTGCTCGGTACCTGCCGTCTCTGCCTTACTCCCTTCTCTAAGTTCTTCTTGCTTATTTTACTGTAGGCAACTAAGTAGTTAGATGTCCTTTCTTACTCCTGTTAAATATTTGAGTTGAATTCTGTGTTCTTTAGGTGCCACTAGGTATCTATTTACATACTTACCTATATTCATAATCTGTTTGGAGAAAGCTAGTAATATTTGGTATACCAGTTCATGAGAGATCCTTCTCTTACCATTGAAGTCTGACCAATGTAACTTTACCAAAAAAAGTGGGCCATTGTAAAACATATATTTCACGTTTTTGTTTTGAAAAACCAAAATTTCCAACAATAAAGTATAACATACTGTTATTTACCTTAGATTAATTAAGGTATGTTTCTATGGTGGCTATAAAGTGCTCATTTAAATTTATGCTTACAAAATTTTTAAAAATATCGTAATAAGATACTTAAGTGAAAATTATATGTTCTCTTTCTTAGTCTATTTGGGCTACTGTAACAAAATACCATTAACTCTGGGTAGCTTTATAAACAACAGAAATTTATTTCTCACAGTTCTTGAGGCTGGGAAGTCCGAGATCAGGGTGCAGGCAGAGTCAGTGTCTGGTGGGGGCCCCCTTTCTGGTTTGTAAATGGCGCCCTCTAGCTGTGTCCTCACATGGTACAAGAGTAGAATGAGCTCCCTTGGTCCTGTTTTATAAGGGCAGTAACCGCATTCGTGAGGATTCCACCCCTATGACCTAATTACAAAAAGCCCAGCTCTTAATATTAATACCTTCACCTTGGGGGTTAAGATTTCAACATACTAATTTTTGGGGGGAGGACACAAACATTTTAGCATTCTGGAAATTTGTTACTTTCAACAACCATGAAAGATATGTATAAAAGACAGACGAGAGGAAGTGCAGTAAGTTATCTGTGGCACTTATCTATAGGTTTCAGGTTCGGGTAATGAGGTATTTACCAGGCAGATAAGAGTGCATGGAAGGGCAGTGCAAAGGCTTAGAGATATGAAAATTCACTCTGTCTTTTGGGATCAGCAATGAAGCTATTTAAATTGAGGACATCAGCAACATGATCCAGGAGGTTGTGTATGTCAGCAATCAACCTTGCCTTGATAGATCTTTTATTCCTCCACCTTGGTAAATGTTAATTTAAATCCATTTATTAATGTTTGTAAAACAAAGCTTTTGTTAAAAATTAAGTGGTTAAAACAGGTGTTACTAACCTGTACTCTTGCAAATATTAAGCTACAGCATTTGTTACTGCTTACCACTAAACCATTACTGGAGTATGCCTGTTTGCAGGGCCAGCTTTCCACTGTCAGCATTATCTGGTTTGAACAACATTACAGTGTTCCACGTTTTTCATAAAGTACTAATGCATTTCTATTTTTCTTCCTCTCAAGATGGAAGAAAACTTTGGCATGGATTCTCTACCATCCATACCGTCAACTGAAGGAAACAGTCAGCAAGGCAGATTTGATGATCTGGAAAATCTTAATTCATTAGCAAAAAGCAGTCTGGATTTAGGTTTGTGGCTTTTGTTTCGCATAAACACAAATTACATTGTTTTTCAGTCTTTCAGTTTTATGTTTGTATACAATGAATTTACTATCATGTTTTTATTCATTATGATATTTTACATTTAAATCTGGCTTATTTGTTAATTTGCTTCCTAATACCTGAAAGAATAAACATGGCTCATATTTTAACTTAAATTCTACATTCTGAGGGGGCCACATTTTCTCTGCCTCGTTTTGCTTTTTATTAGCAGTGCAGATTGAAACTCAAGCTAGTACCTTACACTGAATCTGAAATAAGTCTCTACTAATATATATTAAAATCTCTGATGCTCTTAAGTGATATTGTTAGCTCATGAGT